CCTTGGTGCTCTTGGGCTTGGTTGTTTGCTTGCAGACATTTCATTATTTGACTAAGTAATATCACTAATGCTTATTATCAGTAATAAAATATCTGAAAGCAAACAACCCAGCTCAGTGAGCACAGAGGGCTCCATAATTAAACATTCTACAGAAGAATTCAGTTTTCAATGCTTTTCTAAAAGCTAATAATGAGGGTGCCTCCAAAATCTCTGCAAGCTTTTTGTAAGAATTGAGAAAAAAACATAAAAATATAGTTTCCCGAACCCTCAACATTCCTAATCAAGATGAATCAACTCAACTCAAGTCAGACAGTCCTCTGGTGCCAAACTTTACATGTAATAAATAGCACTTTTAATTGTCTTTGGTGACCAATGCACTGCTTGAAATATGAATGTTATATACCTGTAGGCAAGCATTTGCATTTTGTACATACTGTAGTTTCCAAGGCAGCCCCATTGTGTATTACATTATCCATCCTGGAGTTAATTCAAGCATGGATAAATGTCCCTTCCTGTTCTTGGTAAGGCCCAGAATGAGTTCTTACTTGAGTTTACTAAATTTTACTTCCAGTCTCCGCTCACTGATACACCAAAGATATTCTCTGTTCTCAGGAATCCTTCTGGATTCTCAAATCACTTGTTTCTAAATTTGACTCTTCTCTAAACCCACTCCCAGAGCATGGAGATCAAAATTCCCAAGCACCAGCAGCCATGGATACCCACGATCAGTCTAGTAATTATTCCCAGAAGTTCATGAAGGGATTTTGACACATTAAAGGTCTAGGAGTAGGCCCACACATGATTGCAGTGGAATATCAATGTAACAGATATATTAATAAATATATAATTTGTGAAAGCTGCATATCCCAAGTGCTACTGGGAACTTGTATTCTCCTGGCACAGTGTTAAGCTGTATGCTAGTATCAGAAAATGTATGAAGATCTGCAACTTTCTGCCTCCAGGGCCTGCAAAAATACTAATGGAGATGTTGAGTGGGGATTTGCAGGATGGGACAACTATACCAGCCAGAATCCTAAATTAGAGTCAAGAGGGATAGTATCTCTGAATGGCCAGTGTGGTTAAAATGTTGGACTGGAACAGGGGAGTTCCAGGTTCAAGTCTACTCTCAGCCATAAAAGCTCACGTTTGAGCTAGCCACATACTCACAGCCTCATCTAATTCACAGGATCATTTTTGTGAAAGATAATGGAAAGAGGTAGCATCAATGTATGCCACCTTAAATTCCTGGGAAGAAAGGGCAAGATCTAGCAAATAAATCACAAAAAATAAAGAAATATGTTTTAAAAAGTTTCATAGTTATTTTTTTTTAATTATTTATTTACACTAATTATAGTAGATGTATCACAATGAAAATAATCCCATATGAAAATAAATTTAACAGAGCATCTTTATTACAGTCATGGAAATACAATAAGGAATTGGATTAAGAACTATGTTTTGTCCCTTAAACAAAGACATAGTAGTATAAGAAACTCCTAACTGATACCAAATCAACTAAGTCAGTGGTGGTGAACCTATGGCACACGTGCCGTTGCCCCAGCCTCACCTCCCCCATGACCCCCTCACCAGCAGCCCCCCGGAGGAGAGTCGCCCCTGAGCGTGGCCCATGCAGAGCAGCGCAGCCAAGGACATGGCAGCCAGGCAGCATAGACAAGGCTCTGCTCTCACGCACAGTTGATGCTGCGGGGCGTGGGCAGAGGGTGTGGCCACCATGGCGCTGCTGGGCTGCCTGGGCGATCTGCAGCGGGCCCTGAAGGCGGTGAGTGGCCCTGCGGGCAAGCGGGGTGGGGACGGGGTGGGGGTGGGGACAGGGTGGGGGCAGAGCAGAGGCGGGGCAGGGAGTGGAGTGGGGGCAGGGCCAGATTTTGGGCACTCGGTCTCTAAAAGTTTGCCATCAATGAACTAAGTGGTATGCTTGAAGTAGACCAGGTCAGGAATCAGATACCAGAAGACATACTAGAACTCTTATTTATTGATATATTCGACAACAGAAGCTTAAGAGTCTGACAGCATTTTCCCATCTTTTTTTCTTATCCCAAAGGGAGTCAATGCAGTTTCTTCCTCAGGCTTTCTTGTTTTCCTAAGCTAATTACACATTTCACTAATTGCCACTTCATATTTTTTTTTCAAAGTTATTTCTATGCTGCTCTATACTATCTACTACCGAAGTAAGCAATATGCTTGTGGGCACTACCAGACCTGTAGATACAACTAGTAGTAATCTTATCTAGTTTCTTTTTAATAAACAGGATTGGTATTTTGTGACTGGCTATGTTCCGCAAATTAGCCATCTTGTGAGACTGATCTCAACATCACAGAAGTATAGATGGCATGGACAATGAAGACACACATAATTAGAAGGAAGGACTTTAATTAGCTATGCGGAGCAAAAAAAGCAGCTCATGGTATAGGGTAGAGGGAACTGAATTAAAAATCAAGCATTCCCAAATACTTGATTAAACATAAACATTTTTGGCTTTAAAAATAATTCTAACCCATAATTTTAAACAAAAAGATACTTTATAAATCTATATATGCCCTATCTTTGGTCAGTTTTCCGGAGAAGTAGAATGATTCAAAAAGCCACTCACTAAAAAAAAAGGGCACAAAGAGAAACAAATATCTATAACAATGGTGGCGAACCTATGACACTCGTGCCAGAGGTGGCACTCGGAGCCCTTTCTGTGGGCACACACGCTGTTGCCCCAGCCCTGCCTCCCCCCATAGCCCCCTCACCAGCAACCCCCCTGGAGGAGAGTTGCCCCCAGGCGCAGCCCGCACAGAGCAGCACAGCCAAGGACATAGCCGGACAGCAGGGACAAGACTCCACCCTTGCACCCCATAACGTGCAGATGCTGCTGCGGGGTGTGGGCGGAGGGCGTGGCTGCCATGGTACTGCAGGGCTGCCTGGGCGATCTGTGGCGGGCCATGGAGGCGGTGCGTGGTTGGGCGGGTGGGGCAGGGGGCAGGCAGGGGCAGAGCAGGCAGGGGCGGAGGCGGAGTGGGGGTGGTGGGTGGTTTTTGGGCACTCGGTCTCTAAAAGGTTCGCCATCACTGATCTATAATCTCTTTACCAAAATACCACCTACACATTAGCAAAATGATTCTAGCTAAATAACGAGTACCGTATATACTCGAGTATAAGTCGACCCGAGTATAAGCCGAGGGACCGATTTTCCCACAGAGAACTGGGAAAAATTGGTGACCCGCGCATAAGCCGAGGGGGCATTTTGGCTGTTCCTCCCTGGCCGCCGCCCCNGCTGCCGCGCCGCCGCCGCTGACTCGAGTATAAGCCGAGGGGGGCATTTTTCAGCCCCAAAAATGGGCTGAAAAACTCGGCTTATACTCGAGTATATACGGTAAATAAAATTACAGTTACTTCATAGGCTCTGAGTTCTTTATTAGGTTTCATATAAAATCCCTGATGTATAAGAAATATAGCCAACAGGGATACTTTAGGCTAATTAGAGATACTGTCATGCAACTTGCCTTAGATATGCCTCATTGGATAACAGCACCGTTCTCAAGCCAAATAGTGTGGAAACTCATTAACAAGGTATTCATTGGAACTTGTAAACCTCCTCAACAGTTTGCTCCCAGACAGTGGCAAGAATATCTAATTATGTAAAATACTGCCCAATTCATAAAATAGGGATCCTTCTCATTAAAAAATGGACAACTGAAAAGCAATTCTTGAGATCAGGGTAACACAGAAATATTATCATACTAACGGTGTTCTCTGATAATGTATTGCTCAGTTAACATTATTTACATTAAATCATTTTCTTGTTAAGATGCTCGCCTTGATTTATTTCTACAGAAAAGCCCCAAGTGAGTTGTCAAAACAATAAAAAAAAAATGAAACTGTAAACCTGTCAAGAAATTATTCTAATCATTAAAAATGCTTGCTGTTTAAGAATCACACACACGTTAGGTTTTGAGAATGTGTAACTTATTTTAAAACCTAATTTTAATGCCCATAGGAACAGTACAGAGGAAAAACAGTCTACCAAAATCTTTTAAACATTTATGAGTCCCTGATATATAACCATTCTCTCAGGTTATGAATTTTCTGCAATACAGGTAATCCTCGGTTTACAACCGTTTGTTTAGTTCACATAAAGTTACAACAGCATTGAAAAAGTGACTTATAACTTGTCCTCACACTTATGACTGCAGCAGCATCCCCACAGTCACATGATTAAAGTTAGACTACTTGGCAACTGATGTGTATTTATGATGGTTGCAGCATCCTGAGGTCATGTGATCATTTGCAACCTTCCCAGTTGGCTTCTGACAATGGGGGAAGTCAATGGGGGAAGCTGGATTCATTTAATGACTGCATGATTTGCTTAACAGCCATGATAAAAAAGGCTGTATAAATGGCCACGGCTCGCTTAACTAAGCTTAACTTGCTTAGCAATGGAAATTTTGGTCCTTACTGTGGCAGTAAGTCAAGGACTACCTCTACATTGTTAACTTTCTACATAAAACAGCTAAATCAAAATTCTGTCAATGTAAATTTATAAGATTGTCTATTCCAGGACTATTTGCTTATTCTTTAAGTATTGTTTTTTTATCTATATCCCCAGGCAACTCCACATGCTGGATCTTAATTTCTTTACCAATAGAACAAGTAAAAGTGGAAATGATAAATACATTACGTGCATTGCCTCTGTTATTATTTCTTTATCAAGCAGTCTGCAAAGCATTATATGTCCAGAGCATCATTTGTAATTATATCAAAATTAGGCTAAGCAGAACACCAAATGATCACTCCCATTTATGGTCCTCACCATCGCTTGTTTACTGAAGACAACTGAAAGCTGTAAGTGGCCAACTAACTATTGAGAAAGACTGAAAGTTAGCAGCAGGGAAGCAATTAGAAACCTCTTGTAACCAGCTGTCCAAATGCTGCAGTTTGGTGACTGAGTGATTGGAGCATTCATTAACAAAACTGAAAGAACGTTTTCACTTACTACTTCGGTTGGTCTGTAGTATTTATGATTAACTGTCACGTGAATCTTGCCTGTTTCTTTGCATCGGCCCATTTCGTTCTCATCCTTTCCTTCCCACCTGTAAAGAGATCAAACATTTAACACATGTAATGACTTTACTGACCTGAGGAGAGGGAATTTGGTTCTCTGCTTCACAGACAAGGCTTGTGTTAACTTTCTACATGAACAGGTCCTCACAGAAACACGCAAACAAAAAACCAGATAGGTGCATAACAATTTTTACTAAGATTCAGTTATTTTGTGTACCACACTTCAGTTGCAGCATACTTTTTTTAAATCCCAAAGCCGCCCCTTTGAGATGTAATTATTTTAGTTTGCAGATACAAATAGCAGTGTATATCAACAAGCACATCTGACTTTCTCTCTCTGTATGTATCTCAAGTTTTAGTGGTGCCAACCCATGAAAAATTGTTATACAATAAAACTTTTAACAAGACTATCCACTGCATTGGACTCCAACTGTATCTGTTTCACAGTTTGCAGAAAAGTTTATTCAGAAATTGTTTGAACATCAGACTAAAACCCAGACATCTGAATTCTTCTAATTTTTCTGTATTGCTTTTTTAACACAATATTTTGGTTATTTTTAACAGTCTTTCAGACTTTTGTTTAATATGCTCCTTGTATTGTACAATGACATTAACAATTGCTTAGAAAGCCACATCTTGGGATTTATAGAAGATAAATTGTTGTGCAGTAGACAAGCACATGGTCTATTTAGGTAAATCTTTTTGCCTCTTAAAATCCTTTTGCCTATTTAAGACCCTGTCGTTTTAAAAAGCTAAAATGGAAAAAGCAGGTGAGGAACCCTCATATTCATAAATTACAACCAGAATGAACAAATTGTGTGCATATGTTTACATAAAGCAGCAATCCTCGCCACTTCCCCATCTTAAATTCAGAGGTTTCCCATATATATTTTGACCTAGAAAACACTTCTTGCAACATCAAAGATTCCCATCCTCAACCATATGTCTTTCAGTCTCACAATAAAGATACTTGAATGGGAAACAGGAGTAAATTTTGGCTGAGCAAGGTCATTGTCTGCATTTGGAGACAAGCATCAACTATCACAATGTTTTAAAATAATATGTAATCAAAGCTTTGCTACAGTGAACATGTATGTATGTATGTATGTATGTATGTATGTATGTATGTATGTATGTATGTATGTATGTTGAAGAATGGAAAGAAAATGTAGAATGAAGAAAGTCTAATTCTTTCTATTTTGGTGTGTCTAACCCTTGGCCCATGGGCTGCATGCAGTCCTGGACAGCTAGTAATGTGAACCCCCCCCCCCCGGTTGGAAACATTTAACATTGTTCTGTGTTTTTAATGATATTTATGTACATTAACTATATTATATATTTTATATGCTGCCCAAGTCAATTCCCCGTCACTTCAATGTGGCCCAGGCAAGCCAAAAGGTTGGAAACTCATCTTCTATTGTGTTTAGAAACAGGAGCACTTATGTAGACATCCTTTAATGAAGACCAGATATAACTGGTAATAATAACAGACAGTTAATAAGAAAAAAAAGGACATTGGAAAAATATTTGAAAAAAGGTGAAGAAGATGCACTGAAACTAGTATACCATAAAGGCTCACTGAGTACTGGAGAGACCAAACTAGCCTACAAGAAAGACTAAATGACGAATAGAAAAAAGACATGGCAAGACAAAGTATTACATGGCCAGTATATTAGATAAATAGCAGGCAAAGCAGATAATAACAAGATCTGACAATGGCTAATAGCAGGAAAATTGAAGAAAGAGACAGAGAGGCTAATTCTGGTACATAAGACCCAGCTTTAAGAACAAATGCATACAAAGCCAGAATTGAGAAGACAGCAAAACACAGCAAATGCTGCCTCTGCGAAGAAGCTGAGGAAAAAAATGGACCACTTAGTTAGCTGCTGCAAGAAGATTATAAAGACTGACTACAAACAATGGTATGACAAAGTAGCAACAGTGGTATGTCTGCAAGAAATGCCATTTGCCTGGAAGCAAGAACTAGTGGGATCACAAAGTAGACAAATAGAAAATGAAGAAGCTAAAGTGCTCTGGGACAGACAAGCACTTGCCACATAACACCCCATATTCAACAATTGCTGATAAGAATGGCAAACAAATCTGGATAGTAGATGTGGCAATATCTCGAGGCAGCAAATGAGAAGAAAAAGAACTGGAGAAAATACAAAGAACTCAAACAAAAGAACAACAACTGTGGCAAAAAAAGCAAAGATATGACAAAAGCGATAAGTGCCTTGTGCAATCCCAGAACATCTGGAGCATCGGCATTGACAAAATCACCATCAAAAGACATTTTTACTTGGAACACTTTACATTTTGCAACAATACTTTTAATATTATTAAACAACACCAGCCTATCCCAGGTCCTTGGGAAGTACTCAGTAGATGGATAAAAATGCCAAATCCAGTCTAAATATCTGGTTGACTGCATGACCAACCATGATAATAATAATTTATTAAACCAATATGCCACCTGACTCTAATGACTCTGGGTGGCTCACAACAATCAAATAAAGAAATGACGATAAAAAATAAAAAATAAAAAAAATATGGCAAGCACAATGAAGCGAGGGTCTTTCTTGGCAAAAGCCTGAATAAAGAGCTAGGTCTTCAGAGCAATTGAATTTATCTTATACTTTTTCATTTGATAGATTATTAATTGAAATGTTACAGATCATATAATATTTTGAATTCACTGGTAGCAATTTACTGATTCTGGAAGGACACAGTAAAGAAGGTATTCAAAGCAACTGTTCAGTTGCCAAGCAATTGTAGAATGTGTTTTTGATCCATTTTCTGATTGATTGAAAGGGGACTGAATAAATATATGGAGGGCAGATCTATCAGGGACTATTAGTGCTGAAGATTCAGTATTATCTTAAGTTAGGTGATATCTGATAGAGGAAAGGTTTTCTCAATGCTTTTCATGTATTTATTTATCACAAACTATCCAAGTCCTTCATAAATTGCGTTGCTACTGAAATGAACAATAATTTTCGTTTACTGAATTTATGCAAAAAACTCAAGCAAAAACAAAAAATGAACAAAGGTGATTGGATAACACTAGATTACTGTTTATACCTATATTCCTATAAAGCAACATTTTCCTCATTTTATCTTGGAAGACCAAATGATCTCTGCTGTAGAGTTCATATTGCCTAGTTATTGCCAGAAAAGACATTAATTTTAAAGTAGCATATTCACAGATATACAAAGACAGTTACTTGAACACTTTTAATTACTAAGATCAAATAAAGGAGATTGCTTTCAAGAATGCATTAGAAGTGATATGTATTAAAAATATAGCTAAGTCAAGTCTTTATTTTAGTCATTGACCAGCCATTTTCAAGTAAAATTGAATATATTTTTGAACTGTGTAAGTAACAAAATTTCTGGAGGCAAGAGGGAATAAGAGGGGGAATAATCTTTTTGTCTATTTCTTAGACTGAATTGACAAAGCAGACATATTAAATTTATTGGATGCCCTGTTCCAAGTCAAAGATAACAGAATCTAGTATACATATGGTGTAATGTGACTGATGTTTAAGTTTAAAAACATGTAGTCCAGAATTATCTCATCAATTCTTGTGGGACTGCTTCTTATAGCAAGTAGACTAAACATAATGCTTTAAGACTACTCTTTGTCAAATCAATTTAAGTTTCTTGAATTGTTTTGATAGTGGATTTATTATGCCAATATAATTTAATAACTGCACCTATTATAATGTGTTTTTAATTAATTTATGTTTAATTAATTCAATTCTTACTTAATTTCAGGGTCATTTTTTGTGGTAAAAGACCAAATGCCAATCCAATGAAACATTTCTAAATAGCTTCACATTTTCTGTTTCTTGCACATCTACTCTATCACATTTGAAATAGGGATCATCATAAAATAGCAATATTTTAGAGGAAGAAAGCTGCTTCAGTATGAATGTTGCTTAATGATTTTAAAACATTCTACAGTTTTAAATCTTGGATAAATTGTACTAAATTAGTTCAATATAAAGTGAATAATAATTACTTGGATGGAAAAGCAATACAAGAAAATATTCGTAAACCAAAGTTTTAGAAATAATTGTTTGACATGAGTAAAAAGTTGCATAGTTGGTTTAGGAAGTAATTTTGTAGGCTAGTGAATTCGTCACTAATTGTCAAATAGATTAGCCACTTCACTGGAGCTTGGCTAATGCATTCACAGCGGTATATTAATATGCACCCCAAAGTTTTACATGAGTTTTTCCATCACCAGAATGAATGTATTCATTTTAAAAAAGAACTCTAATTGTCAATTTCCTTCCTTCCTTGTTAATGTTCAGAGATGCTTAACTGGTCAGAAAGAATCAAAATAAAAGCCCAGTTTTAAAAACATGCTAACATTTCAATTCTGCTCAGCTGCTATTAATAACAAGATCAGCCCCCAAGAAGACAATGATCAGATTGCAGGCATGTTTGCATATATTTGTAAAAAACAAAAAGATTTTTCAACTATTTTCCTATATTTTTGGTATCTGTGTGCAAATTAATTATTGATTTAAAAGCAAATATTTGATAGAAAATAAGTTAGGGCTATAATATATTCACAGTCTTCTAAATAAGAAATAAATAGCAGCAGCAGGAAAGTATTTTTTTAAAATCCTCAAACTAAGATAATAACGTATAGCTCTTTCAAAACCCCTCATGTTACCGGTGTAGAAACTTCAGCAGCAAAATGATAATAATTCTAGCAGCAACCATGGTGAATTTTCTCACAGAAGCCATAAATTTAAATCAGTAGAGATTTTGCTACTGATTTTAATCAAGTAAGAATTATCCCCTGTTTAGAAACTAAGTACAATAATCTGCTGTCATTTATTTATGTTTAATACTCTTTTAATTTTTAGTCATTTTGTCTTCTAGTTGGAAAATAAACATTGGTAAGCAACGAATACCAATGTCATTGTTTTGAGCCATAGGCTTAACAGTCCTTGAATAGTGTTTAGTTTACTTGCCCCTTTTGTGTAGAGTCCAGTGGGCTCTACACAAA